GGAGGGTAGTTGTCGCAACTGCGGACTAATGCTAAGGGTTCCAGGTTGGTAAGTGTAAGTTCTAGGACCTAATAACAGGACAGTCAAGGTGAGTGCGCTGATTAGATAGGTTTAGGGCCTATTTCAAAACCGTAAAAAATATTTTTCTTTTCGGGTGACCGTCAATGCGCCCGAAATTTGTTCATGTTGCTCGTTAAGGCTCTTCAAGAACGCCGCTATATAGGAAAGTACGACAGGCGCGGCCGGCAAGTGGATGTTTTCGTTGGTCGACTGATGAATGCGTCCATAATGCATCCATAATGCGTCCATAATGCGTCCATAATAGTCGACTATGAAAGTACGACAGGCGGTTGCGGCAAGTGGATGTTTTCGTTGGTCGACTGATGAATGCGTCCATAATGCATCCATAATGCGTCCATAATGCGTCCATAATCCATAGTCGACTATCTCAGGGTAAGCTTCATGATTAATCAGATGATAGGCTCTAGATATGCCGAATTTGACCGTTCCAGGTGATAAACTAGACTGAGATTTGCCACGATGTTCGCCGGCGTTTTCCCCGATCCCTGTTATCAGGACTTTGGAACCAGAAAGACATTCATCACTGCGGTCCCTGGAGAACCCTTCGGTTCCTGCTTTTTGCCGCAAGGTAGCCCACTGCAAGTCGTTGAAGGGATAAGCCCATATGTTCTGCTTGCATTTATATTGCCTTCCATCGGTATTCTTTTTAAACCATTCACAACCAAGTAGAAATATTTTAACGGCTGTTCTTCGGATGGCGCGAAGAGTGAACGTACCTTTATCCGGTTTAGCCGTTGTGCTGGACGATCTCAGATACTTTTTCCCGTCTCTTCCAAAGGATCCACGGACCGTAATGAAAATCCCCCGTCGTTGCTGCGTGAGACAGAAGGCCGGTGGGATGTACATCCACCTTGGGTTGAAAGCAGGTTTGCTGCAACAGCTCCGTGAGATTAAGACTAGGGTTACAAACATCGAAATTCAAATGAACGTTGACGGTATTCGGGCCTATAACAACTCGCGTACTCAAGTGTGGCCTATACTCTCCCGGATAATTTCACCCTTTATCGGTCAGCCTTTCGTCGTTGGAATATACCGTGGTAAGCAAAATCCCAATGATGTTCATCGGCTGATGTCTGACACGGTCGCCGAGTTGACAGACGTCTTGGCGAAAGGTGTCTCCGGGGTTCACAATATTCACACTGTCCGTCTTCAGTGCATTATTTGCGATAGTCCGGCTAGGGCCCTTCTAAAGCAAGTGAAGGGACATACAGGATATCATGGCTGTGATTATTGTACACAAAAGGTCGTGCACATCGGCACACGGATGACTTTTCCCTCGTTAAGAGCTCCCTTGCGTCGTGACTACGATTTCCGGACCAGAAAGCAAGAAAAGCACCATACAGGCTTAAGTCCGATGGAGGAGTTAAATGTTGCCAGGGTTGACGGTTTCCCACCAGATCACATGCATAGTGTGTGTCTTGGCTTAGTGCGGAAATTTCTCATCTTACTCTGAGCTATGCCAGTTGGACACAAGGCCAAGATTTCTTTGGAGTCCTGGAATCTGCTGAATGATAACATTGAGCAACAGAGTTTGGCTCTGAGTATTGATTTCCCCCAAAAATGTCGAGGTGTCGTGGACCTGGATCGGTGGAAGGCATCTGAGCTACGACAGTTTCCTCTGTTCATAAGACCCGTTGTTTTACGAGATATCTTACATTGTGACTTTTACGAATGTTTCAAGTATTTTTCGGCAACCACTTTCATAGGCCGTTCAACTTTTCTCACGACAATATGCTGATTTTTTTAATTGATGTTTTCAAGGTTTCTGTGTCGAAATTTGCTGCTATTTATGGTCCCAGCCATTTAGTCTACAACATACACCTCTTCTCCCGTTTATTCAAATTCGTCAAGCTTTATGGTTCCTTGGATCGTTTTTCCTGTTTTCCCTATGAATCGGAGCTGGGGGCAATTGAAGCATTACATACATGGTCCAAAACCACCGGCCGTTCAGCTTTACCGCCGACTGTCAGAGCGTGTGGGATTGGATGCTGTCGAAAGGAAGATATTTTCGGATGATGTTGGTTTGCGACTGAGGCCATCAGCCACTGCCGGATGTCACAGATACATTCATGAGAATGTCGTTTTTTCGAAACACTCCCGATAACTGCATTTTGCTTGATTGTCAACCAGCGGTTATTGTAGATTTTTCTGGAGATACTATTGAGCACCAGAAGTTCAAAGCTGTTCTCCCGTTTTACATTCACGTGTTGATATCGACAGACGTTCTAGTTTTTCAATGCTCCGACTTGCAACACACTAGGCTGTTTGCATCAGTCGACCAAATATCTTGTAAATGCCTAAGTTTTTCCTGCAGAGACGCCCCTATATACTTACCCATTTTGCATACCCTTACTGATTAGTCAGTACTCTTACCACTGGCACTCGACACATGTATGCATTTATTGCTTGTGTTACTCATTAGTTCGTAATATATATATATACATATTTATGTTGGTTTTGCGTTATTCCAGCAAAGCTTCGGTTTGCATGTGGATATTCTTCTGTTAAATATCGTATTTGGAAGTTGTTTTTCAGCCATGTACGCTGTCCTCATATTTGCGAACAACTCTGTTGGCATAGTGCATGAATCGTGCTTTGAACCGCCCGATTCGTCCTTTGGCCCTCGTGCACAACCGGCACTCTTTATGCCAACTTACTGAGGGGTACTCTACCAAAATTTCCACTCAAGTCGTGCACATACGAAGTGTATCGGCAGTGCAGTATGTTCATTTTCAGTTAAAAATGTTCTAGAAACTTTCCCGGATGCACTGAGTGCTCAGCCGGAAGGAAGCCCTTGAATCACGGCATACCTCCTCTGTGAAGCAAAACGATGAACGGCTCTTACGTCAATCCAGGCGCAAACAGCATATTTATCAATCGTACTACAATGGTTGCAGTACAAAGAAGCGGCTGCCGTCTGATTTTACAGACGGGTCGGATCGTGATTCCAGTGATGACACCACTTTTTTTGCGAACATAGTCATAAGCCCACCAACTCCAAAAAGACTAAGTCCTCCCGCACCTACCAACTTTTCAATTTGTAAAATCCTCATCTTCAGATGTACCAAGCTGACTGTCACGATTAGTAGTATCATTCCTGTTCAAGACGCGTCGCCTGTCCCCGGTGATGCCCCGATGATATGTGGAACGTATGTTTTATTTCATTACCACCATCTAGAATCTATCAGCAGTTCCACGTATACAATACTCCCCGCCATGGGCGATCCAGAACCACGCAGTTCTACCCCGATCCTCAGGTTCTCTTAACATTCCGTGTACTTTAATTTCTAGAAATAACTCTCCAAATTCCAAGGCCAGCGTAATTTTCCCGGA